AACAACTATTCAGTAGGAGATTGTAAGGATCAGGCGATTGAATGAATGGCTGAAATTACCACCTTCAAAGGTTCTTTTTGCCTTGAAAAAGGACTTTCGGACTGAACTATGGCTAGTGGAAAGGAAAGCTGTATTGAAAGTGCAGGACTTCAAAGTAAAGTGCTGGAAAGTAGGAATAATAATTGCGGGACTTGAATTAAACATATTGAAGGTGCATTACATGAATGTAAAGATATTGAAGTGCCGTTTTACTGTGTGATTTGAACAGGGTTTGCAAACTAGCTCTAAGTGTTCTATTTATAGAGTTTTCCATGCATGCAGTAACTTGGTGTGGCAACTTCAGCAGCTTCCACGTGGCCAAATCTCGGACTGCCATGTGTCCCAAGATCTTTCATCCTTCTCTAAATGTTGCCAAGTGTAAAACTATATTCTCCCATGATTTATAACTGATAGATAGTGGGCTTGGTGGTTGAATACATGCTTGTAAGCCTTATCCCATGTTTTGTAATTGCCCAGATGGAAAGGCAGCAGTTCCAACAGTTGCAGTAGCAGTTGAGAACTTCCTCCTAGAAGGTCCGGATCTTGCCACGTGTCCTTCATGCCGTAGACTTCTACCTCTTTTAGACACGATTCCACTAATTTAGACCACGTCATCCATTATCTTCAAGCACTCCCTCAGTTAGTGGTAGTTACCATATGAAGTTCCACCACTTTCAACCGACGTATTCTTGTTTGGCCAAGTGTCCCACGATTTCTAATAGTCTTCCCCTTCTATAGAACCTTTCTTCTGTATAATTTCTATATATATCATGCATGTCTATAGAAATTATTCATATACCCACGTTCCCTTGGCTTTAGGTAACCTCTTCTGGTTGGACTTTCCATTCTGGTCTTTGTATCATGACGCCGTGGCCCCTTTCTTTCAGCGATTTCTCTTTCATAAGTTATATCTGATATATAAATATATATACAAAAATATATATCCATATATATAAATATTCCCCACGTCCCTTTTCTTTTGTAAACCACGTTTCCATGATTTTGGCAACTTCCACCTTGAGAATTTCCTTCTAGGTTTAGAGTTCATGGGCCATGACCTCCTAGATTTTAGGACTATTTCATCGTGGGATTATATCCAACCCACTTCCTTTCCTTTCATAGACCACGCCTCCTTGATTTTAGTTTTTCCCTTCAGCATCGCCTCATTGAGAACCCATGACGCTATGGATTCCTTCCTCACAACAGTTACTTCATCGTGGGCCAAATCTAATAAATATATATATTTGCATATATATATATATATATTTATTTATAGAAATTAAACTCCCACGTCTCCTCCCTTTTAGTAACATTGTTTGAATTGGCTAAATGAAGTCTCCTAAAAATAAGGAGAGAATCAACCCCACGTTCTCCTTCTTTTTGGCTAAACCAACTTTAGTCTTACCATATTTGGTAAGATAACAATCCCTTAAAAGAATTGATCCACAGCAATAAGTACCTTAGTAAGCTCAGTAGAACTCACCATATGTAGTAAAACTCATTCCATACAGGAAGATGTGGGCCCTTGTTTTAAAGATGGCAAGTCCTAATAAGACTCACCTCTTTCCTTTAAAGATAGAAAACCCCACATGGTAGGATTATATTGGCTCACTTGTCTTTGATTTCAATTACTACGTAATATTACATAGCTTCCAATAATAATTTATTAGAGTTGCGATTCAGCGTGATAAGTTCCATTGGAACTCACCACATGTCGCCTTTCAATTGGGCCAAAAATAATGGAATAAACATATGCCCCCCAAATTCCATGCCTTATGGAGCAACTTGATAATAAGGCATGAGATTTGAATTCCGCCATCATGAAGAAGAAGAAAAAGAAATTGAAAAAGAAGAAGTGGAAGTACTGGAAGAAGGAGGGGATATTTTGTATAAAACAAATGGATAAGAAAAAGTTTATGAAGTATTTTCAATATGGCTGGACTTAACTTGGAATTGCTAACATTCAAATGCATGTATAAGCAAGATGAGTTATTTCCAATATGAATAAAACCTGGACCATGTAATGTAGCCTCTTCTCAATGAAATGCTCCATACTTAGGAAATCAGCTGATCTTGGAAATTTAGCTAAGTCTGCTTCACAACTTTAGCCAATGTACTTTTCCAAGTACTTAGCTTTTCCTTCTTGGAATGGCCAAAGTATGGCCATTACGCTTCCTTTCCAACTTTCCAATTTACTTGGAAAGGAAGATACCAACCATTCTACATGGCCGGTTGAATGATTGTGGATTTCCCGTTTTCATAGATGGAAGGGTAATACTCTTTCAAGTATACCCCATTCACAGGATGCTTGTGGGATCCTCCATCAATCAAAATGTAATGTGGCGCCAAAAGCTGAACCCTCTTGTCCACATTGGTACTAGGCTCTGGCAAGAATTGGATAATTGGTGTTTTCCAATCTTCTAAGTCTAATCCATCTATATCAACATTGAAAATCTCCCATGTCCTTTTGGCAGGCTTGACCTTTTCTGGCTAGTCAGTTTGGAAATGACCTATCATCTCATGTCGTGACTCTACAGAAGGGAGAGCACTTCTTTTGATTGTGATCATGGTCTCTTCTATACCCAGTGGGACTTTCACTCGAGAGGCTATTTGTGCTAGATCATTAGCCTCTGTGTTCAAATGTCTTGGCCAATATTTGAGTTGGAAATCATCAAACTGGTAAAGTAATTCCAAGGCCAAAGAGTAGAAAGGCCTCAAATGCCAATTGAGACATTTATATTCTTCAGAAAGTTGGCTAAGTATTAAGTTGGAATCTCCAATAAACTGGACATTATCCACCTTTAGTTCTAGCAGGATTTCCAGCTGTAGTTCAACTAGATATGTTTTCAACCTGGCAAGGAAACTATTAACCGCCTGGCCAAGTATTCTATCTTCTTTAGGTTTTTCTTCCATAAAAACTTTTGTTTGAGATGTAATGTTGAACATCGGCCTTGGGTAGAATTGTTGGCTTAGGTGGTCCTTGGAAAAGCTCCCTTACGTCTTCTTTAGTGAGAGTTCTCCTCATGGTGGCCTTCCTTGGACGGCCCTTGCTATCCATTCCAATAAATCTGATTGGAACAAATTCATCACTATATAACTCGGCATCCGCATGGTAGACCCTTGCCATAAATGACTAGCTATCAGCCTCCACCACTTGTACCTCATCTCCATCCCAAAATATCAGCATTTGATGGAGTGAAGATGGAATGCAAAAGTTCAGGTGGATCCACTCACAGCCTAAAAGCAAATTATAGGCCGCTGTAGATTCAATAACAAAGAATGCCGTGATTGAAGTTATATCCCCCATCGTTAATTCCAACGGTAGAATGCCTTGTGTTTTCACTATTCCTTCCATGAACCCACTAATGGACACATCAGTTGGAATGATATCTTCAGGAGACTTTCCGAGCATGCGTATAACATTGACTGGAACAACATTCAACACCGAACCATTGTCCACCAGAACTCTTGCCAAGGGCCTTCCTTCCACTAACACCTTGATGTACAAAGGTTTGAGCTGCTGAGTCATGCCATATGGTGGCTTTTCCAACACAATTTTCTTCGGCCTCGTAGGGCTGTTCTCTTCAATCACCACCCCCTTTAATTTCTAGAGATGCTCAGCTTCATCTTCAAAAACCTCCTCTATATAAATACCATTATTTGGTTCCATAATGGTTAGCCCAGAACTAGACTGTCCAAGACTTTCTATGGGTGGACTTGTATCTACTACATCTCCTTCTATTGAATTGGGCTAATTTGGCTGAGGCTCAAAAAAACAAAGGAAGAACCACTACCATTTTGCAAGTAAATTCACCTGGAAGGCTCCCAAAAGAAATTTTCTTGCTGCTACTGGAACTACTAGGAATTTCCAAATCTGTTTTATCTTTCGTCGAAGGATTGTCTGTAGTTAAGGAATTTCCAACCTCTGAATCAAGATCTAGCAAATCATCAGGATCTCTATCTTTTCCTCTAGCTGGAAGCTCTGATAAGTCTGGCGGCTTAGTAGTCTTCTTTGGCCAGCTGGACCAGCCATGGTCTTTCTCCCATAACCTTCTTCTATCAGCCCTCTTCTTTTGCTGCCTTCGCTTTTGTGTGTGAGTCATATAAGAGTCATCATGAATGGGAAACTTGGGATGATCAAGCCTTCTCCATCCCTCATCTTGATAGGTAAGAGGTTTAACCATTTTTGGTCGGAGATGCTCACTCCCCCTTCTAACCCATACTTCCGAGGCCATTTTTGGCCTGGAATGCCTGTCACCTTCAGAACCTCTATCTTACCATCTACTACTTTCAAACTTTCTGCGAAGACGAGAACCTGGCTGATAGGAAATTTTATTCCTTTCCACACTCTTTGGAAAGATTTCAGATTTCCTTTCTGCTGCCTTCCTTTTTGGATGAACCCGGCTTTCCTTCTCTGGAATGGTTACAGTAACTGTGTTTTCCACCTTTTGAAAAGTTAGCCATTCATGGACTTTCCTTTTCTGACCTCGGTCACTATTGGAGGGCTTTTCATTCTGCTTCTCTTTTGGAAAGTCTTTATGGCAACCTTCATTCTGAACTTTACACTTAGGGCAACAACCTTATTAGATTAAAGCAATCTGGGACTTTCGGAGTTGCCTCTCCAACTCAGCTACTATCTTCTCTATAGATGTTGCCACCTTTGGAATTTCCAACCTTCCACTGGTCACTGGATTTACCAAGTCCACCTCCTTTTTGGAATGCTCCAGAACCATGGAAACAATGTTTGTTACAACAACCTTGGGGAAAGGATTTCCATCAACACCCATGACTTCTGATTTTTCTGGAAACTTCAAACAGCCATCTTCGATTGCCTTTTGCATAATGTTGTGGAAGATAACACAATTATTAGTAGAATGCTTCCACAAATTGTGGAATTTGCAATACTCCTTCTCGGCCATTTTTGAAGCTGACGGCATCTTATGGCCCGTTGTGAAAATCAGTTACTTGTCAGCCATGAGCAAATCAAAGATTTGCTCGGCTTTAGAAATGTCAAAAGAGTAACTTCTGGAAGAGTTTGCCCCCTTCCACTTGGAACCAGAGGCGGCCTGCAAGTTAGCCATAGCTGATTTCGGTTTTGTCAAGGCCTCACAAGTGTAAGCCTTCTTTATGTTGAGCTCGGCTACGTTGACTTCAAACTCCCCTTCAGTTTCAGTGGTATATACCTCAAAGTTAGGATCACGATAGTAGGTGCCCTTGGAAGTGTTCTTCCTATCTTGCTCCTCACGAAGGAGCTCTTCATACTTAGCCACTTTGCCAACCAAGTTGAACAAGTCATGGAACTGTACACCTTCAAACTTCTTGCAAAGTTCAAATTCTAGGCCGTTCACAACCATCTTCATATATTCTTTCGGCAGCAAAGACAAATTACATTTGAACTTAGCCCACCTGAATCTGGAAAGGAAGCTCATCACAGACTCTCCAGGTAGTTGATGAAGTCTGGAAAGGTATGCCATGGACACTTCAAGCTCAGCTCTATAGAACTGAGTATGGAATAAATCCTCAAATTGCTGCCAACTTTGAATGGAGTTGGCTGGCAAGCTGGAATACCACCTGAAAGCATACCCAGTCAGTATATTTGGAAATAAGTGTACCTTCAGCCATGGATTGGCTGCTGCTTCTCCACACTGAACAGTGAACCGACTGATATGTTCCAAGGTAGACTGTTCGCCCTCTCTATTGAACGTTGCAAACTCTGGAATTCTGAAATTCCTTGGAAATTCAACTTCATCAATGAACTCTGGATAGGGCTTTCTGTAAGTGGGCCTTCCACCCCTTCGAGTTAGGCCAAATTCCTGCTGAAGGAATTCTTCAAATTGGCCTCTGTCAAGTGCCATAGGTTATGGAGGGTTGTTGTCTGGCCAACCATAAGGTTGATTGGCCACTTGATGCCCCCCACCCGCCATAAGCAAGGGGTTAGCATCTGCATAGTTGTTCCTACCACGGTTCCTTCCTCCTTGGTCAAGAAGTGACTCCCTTGGAAAAGGTTGCCCCCCAACCGCCATTGGAATGACCATAGGTGGTGGCCTTGCTGGAACAGGTGCGGCTGGCTGAATATTCATCGATCGAACATTCTATTGTGCTTGAGGATTGTGGTATGGCCATGGTTGGCCAGGCTGATCATGCCAAGTCTGCTGTAGAAATGCCACAGGTGGAGGATTCTGAACTTGTTGGATGGTTGGCATGGGCACAACTTGTGGAACAGTCATCTGTGCCACTGGAGCAGTCACAGGTGTAGCTGGAATGTAAGTTTGTGCCATTGGAAGGGACTACACCTGCTGCTGAGTTGGAGGGAGTGGCCTTGCATGTTGCTGAGAGGAACTCCCTTCAACAAATGTGGCCGGCCTACTAGCTTGGAAGGCCGACTGTTGAGACCCTTCAGAGTTGCTTGGCCGAGGGGCCAAAATTTGAGACAAACCTCCAAAGGACTTTTCTAACATAGACTCGAACCTTTGAGAGATTCGGTCCACCATCTTTTCTAGTTTTCGCTCATTAGCAAGAGCGGCTTTTGCATGGTCTTGACTAGCCTTAGATTGGTCTTGCGCAACTCTGGCTAAGTCTTGGGCGACTCTAGCTTGGTCTTGCACAAACCTATCTTGTTGCATTGCCATCATGCGGATGTTGTCCATGATTGGTCCATTTGCCATTGTTTGAGCAAATTTTTCCACCATATCATTTTCATCAGGTGCGAATCGTGAACTTTCCACTAGAAGTTCACTGACTTGCATCTCTTCTAGTTCGGCAGGGTCTTGGACAGACTTGCCTTGCCTTCTTCCACTGGCTATTGAACAGTCTATCTAAAATGTGCCGCCGAGCGTGCCAAGAATGTTCAGCTAGCGAAAAAGCACTAGTTTCATTTTCCAGGTGAGTGGAAAGTGGGAGTGGATGTCGGGCGTGCTAGGAACTGCTGTCATTTCAAAGTAGATATCTAAACAACTATCCAGTAGGAGATTGTAGGGATCAGGCGATTGAATGAAGGACTAGAATTACCACCTTCAAAGGTTCTTTTTGCCTTGAAAAAGGACTTTCGAACTGAACTATGGCTAGTGGAAAGGAAAGTTGTATTAAAAGTGCAGGACTTCAAAGTAAAGTGCTGGAAAGTAAGATTAATAAGTGCGGGACTTGAATTAAACATATTGAAGGTGCATTACATGAATGTAAAGATATTGAAGTGCTGTTTTGTTGTGTGATTTGAACAGGGTTTGCAAACTAGCTCTAAGTGTTCTATTTATAGAGCTTTCCATGCATGCAGCAACTTGGTGTGGCAACTTCAGCAACTTCCACGTGGCCAAATCTTGGACTGCCATGTGTCCCATGATCTTTCATCTTTCTCTAAATGTTGCCAAGTGTAAAACTATATTCTCCCATGATTTATAATTGATAGATAGTGGGCTTGGTGGTTGAATACATGCTTGTAGGCCTTATCCCATGTTTTGTAACTGCCCAGATGGAAAGGCAGTAGTTCCAGCAGTTGCAGTAGCAATTGAGAACTTCCTCCTAGAAGGTCCGGATCTTGCCACGTGTCCCATGTCTTCCTTAGTCTTCTCCTTCATGACGTAGACTTCTACCTTTTTCAAACACGATTCCACTAATTTAGACCACGTCATCCATTATCTTCAAGCACTCCCTCAGTTAGTGGTAGTTACCATATGAAGTTCCACCACTTTCAACCGACGTATTCTTGTTTGGCCAAGTGTCCCACGATTTGTAATAGTCTTCCCCTTCTATAGAACCTTTCTTCTGTATAATTTCTATATATATCATGCATGTCTATAGAAATTATTCATATACCCACGTTCCCTTGGCTTTAGGTAACCTCTTCTGGTTGGACTTTCCATTCTGGTCTTTGTATCATGATGCCGTGGCCCCTTTCTTTCAGCGATTTCTCTTTCATGAGTTATATCTGATATATAAATATATATACAAAAATATATATCCATATATACAGATATTCCCCACGTCCCTTTTCTTTTGTAAACCACGTTTCCATGATTTTGGCAACTTCCACCTTGAGAATTTTCTTCTAGGTTTAGAGTTCATGGGCCATGACCTCCTAGATTTTAGGACTATTTCATCGTGGGATTATATCCAACCCACTTCCTTTCCTTTCATAGACCACGCCTCCTTGATTTTAGCTTTTCCCTTCAGCTTCGCCTCATTTAGAACCCATGACGCCATAGATTCCTTCCTCACAACAGTTACTTCATCGTGGGCCAAATCTGATAAATATATATATTTGCATATATATATATATAGAAATTAAACTCCCACGTCTCCTCCCTTTTAGTAACATTGTTTGACTTGGCTAAATTAAGTCTCCTAAAAATAAGGAGAGAATCAACCCCACGTTCTCCTTCTTTTTGGCTAAACCAACTTTGGTCTTACCATATTTGGTAAGATAACAATCCCTTAAAAGAATTGATCCACAGCAGTAAGTACCATAGTAAACTTAGTAGAACTCACCATATGTAGTAAAACTCATTCCATACAGGAAGATGTGGGCCCTTGTTTTAAAGATGGCTAGTCCTAATAGGACTCACCTCTTTCCTTTAAAGATAGAAAACCCCATATAGTAGGATTATATTGGCCCACTTGTCTTTGATTTCAATTACTATGTAATATTACATAGCTTCCAATAATAATTTATTGGAGTTGCTATTCAGCGTGATAAGTTCCATTGGAACTCGCCACATGTCGCCTTTCCACTGGGCCAAAAATAATGGAATAAACACCTATTACTAATACCATCCTAAAAATAAAAGTTGATTGCCAAAAACAAATCAATGACTATTTTCAAACCTATGTGGGAGCTTCAAAAAAAACTACAACATTCATATGCTCTTCATAAAGGACTCCATAGATTTGCCTCTTATCATTATCATTATTTATTTTTCTCTTTAATTCTCGAGGTCAATCAATAAGCTGTCGGAGATTCAAGCTGATTGTAATTTCTATTCTGTATTTAATATTTCTCTTTGCCAAAAAAAAAAAAAAAATCATTTAAGGCCCATAGATAATAAAAGTGATTTGTTCATCAATATCATGGGTTATTTGGTTTGATATTCAGTTCACTAATAAGCTATTTGCGTGGAAGGTATTTGCGTCAGTATTTTGTAATTCATCACTAATAAGCTACACAAAATATGGGCCTAAACCATGTACCTGATTTTCTTAAGATACTTTTTTATTTTATTTTTTCATACCCCACCAATTCACCTTAAGTCAAGTTTTAATTAGAAAAATAAAAAATAAAAAAAGAGAAGTGATAGGTCTTCCGACCTCAATTGGCGACTCATTCTCTGAATACAACGTAGTTGGGAATGAGTCGAAAAGAAAGAAATGTTTACGGGATTTTGTTTTAAGAGTTCTAATGTGATACAACCACGTTGTATTCGAAAGATGAGTCGGTAATTGAAACCAGAAGATCTATCATTTTTCTTTAAAAAAAAATAGAATCTCTCAGCTGAAGTAAAACTATAAAAAAAATATTGTCCTAGAGATTTGTCTATAAATTGATTTTTTTATTGTTAACTCAATTCTTTTTTTAACTGCACAAGTTTGGTTGACACAAATAAAATTAATTTACGGTGTTTAGATGGATAGCTTACAGGTGTTTTGATGGATAGCTTACAGTTATCTCCACCCCACTTCAAATCAGAGTTGAAAAGACAAAAAAATTTCTCAATAATCTTTAGTTTGCTCCAATACCTCAAAAATCTCAAATGTATTGTTAACTCACAAATATTGCTACATTGAATGTTTTTACTCAAATTAACACTATAGAATCTTACCATTTTTACTATGTAAATGAAAAAAAATAGTTCCTTAAATACTTAGGTTAGATGTTGATCTAAAACTATGTTATTTGCACATGTGAAAAGTATGACAATTAACATCACACAAAAAGTATTACAATGAACATCAGAAACTTGCAAACACAACAAAGACTCATGGTACTAGGGTAAATTTCTCATACATCCTATTTACATCCATATTTTCACTCAATGGAAAATACACACGTGGAAGAATTTGGGTCAAGCCGGTTTTATGATGGGTGAGAGTTTTGCTCAAGGAATGGTCTTAGTAAAAGCTAGTTAAGAGTGGTTTAGATATATTAAACTACTTTAATTTTATGAAGGCTTGTGAAATAGAGTTTGACTCAAAGAAGCCCATAAAGAAGATTGGCAGTTGAATTAAATTGAAGCCATGTTTGGTCAAAGGAACGTGTTTATTAAACGTAGGAAGATTGGAGTTCCTAAAAATATGGAGGTTCTAGAAAAATCAAGAACGGCACGATTGCATGTTTGGGGCCACTACTACCACCATCCGAGAAATAGGAGTGGTGGCCATTTGCTCAGACAAAGGGAGTTGTGCAAATCAAAGTACGATCACACGATTGTTGGCATGTTCAGAACGTTAGGGCTTTAGAAGGATTAAAGCACGATCACATGATGACACAATTGTTGGGCAACTCTAGACACAATAATAACGTGGGAAAATAACGTGGGAAAAGAACGTGGAAGTTCTAGGAAGGTCTGCACGTTTGCATGTTTGGGACGTGGAGGTCTGCACGTTTGCATATTTAGGACGTAGAGGTTCTAGAAAAATCAAGAACGGCACGATTACATGTTTTGGGACACTTGTCAACTGTTGGTGGCATAAATGGAACTGCTGTTTGTTTAACTGTTGTATTTTCATTCTATAAATAGGACCTTATGTATAACGTAGAAGGGGCTCAACGCCAAAAATGCATTTCAATACAATCATTATTTTACACTGTAATGCAATTTCATTATGTTTAGTCTGTAATGCAATTTCATTATGTTTAGTCTAAGTC